ATTCTTGATGAAATCTTTGACAATATAGAAATAAAGTCCTTCATGATGGTATAAAGAAAACACGATAAACAAAAACGATCATTTTAAAAAAGGTAAAGTAAAAGAATAACATTTGCTCAAATCCCCCGTCGTGAGCACAAAGTGGTAGAGTCGGACTTGTGGAGGACTGAGGGAGAGAGATCCATAGGGGTGCTGGACCGAACCAAGCGGCAGCTGGAAGAGGGGCGAGCGGGAAACGGGGAGGTCCTTACATGCCGTAACCGAAACCCGGCTGTGCCGGAGGAGCCTGGGGGTAGCCAGGCGCTGCTGTGTACCCATAGCCATAAGCCTGCTGCGGGGGGACAGGCACACTGGGACCTGCTGTCAGCATGAGCTGAGGCGTGCCTGAGGAATGAGAGATTTTGGAAAATAAAAAATTTAAAAAATGCATTTAAAAGTATTATATTTTAAAAAACATAAATACTAGTCAATTTTCTTGGCAATTTGCTTTGACTGTTTTACCATAAACAATGGGTTGAGTCTCTGTGGCCTGCTCCTCTTCTTTCCTCAAGGATTCGGAGGTCTCCAGCTTGTCCACCTAAATACACGAGAAAAATTAGTTTTCAGTCTGTATATATGATCATTGTGTTGAGGACTAAGAATGTCTCTTAAAATAATCATGGTTTTATTATTCATTAAAATTAATTCAGAAAATAGTGTAAATACAAATAGAATTTACTAATATAATTATACTAATGCTTCTATTAATGCTTATTAATTAATAATATGAATGTTAATATACAAATGTTAATCACTTTTCAAATTGACAGAGATATTTAAAATGCTTTTAATTCATGTTTAAAATGTAAAATATTCTTAGTTTTATATTCAAGTTAATATGTCATATCAATGATGATTATTTGAAAATACTGCTACTATATGTAAATGCTAATGACTTTTCAAACTGACTTATTTAAAATGATTTATTGGATTAATTTGTCAACGTTATCTGTGACTATTTTTAAATTAGTATTCTGATAATTGATGTCTTCATTTTATACTAATATTTTATACTAAACTGAAGTATGTGAATGTTAAATCACATTTCAAAGTGAAAATAAGCATTTCAAATTTTTTAATTTGTGTTTAAAATGTTAGCTCAATTTTTTCATGTTTTATTTTTAATATATTGATAACTAATGTCTTCATTTTTATTATTTAATTATTATAACAATTATACTAATGTATATACTAATGTAATTTACAATGTTAATACATTTTCAAATGGAATATTTAACATTATAAAATGTTAGTCAAATTTACTCATGTTTTTTTAAATTAATAAAATAAAGACATCAATTATCAATATGTGTTATACTAATAATTATAATTACTTAATAATAATTATACAAATACAATTTAATGTATGTAAATGTTACATTTCAGCTAAACAAATTTAAATGGATTTAATTCAACCTTCAAACGTTAGTCAAAGGTCATTGTTTTGAAATAATTCACAATAATTGATCTTTGTTTTATTTTTAAGTGGCATTTCTAGTCCTTCCCCATTTTAGAGTAGCAGCCCATCCTTACCTTGCTGAGGTATTCCCTCGTCACCTGGATGAAGTAAGGCATGGCAAAGTCCATGATGTTGTGCC